TATCTTTCTACAATCTATCTCTTTAGAATTCTGAACTATTTGCAATATCACTGGAAGGAGTTAATTTCATTACTTCTTTCATTACTCATTACTTCTTTTCATTACTTGCATTTGGAACTGTATTTAATAAGTGTTCTGGATTGTTTTGAAAGAAAAAGAAACAAAAAGGATGCCACAAGTCTAACGTGAAGTAACTGTTGAATTTCAAGACGATATGTCTTTCTCCTTGCATCCAAATAATGATCATAACCAGTTTTTATTTCTGATAGTCTTATCCAGTGGAGAATGCAAACGGAAGGAGATGTTGGTTTTAAATATCATTGCGGTTGAGGTTATATTGACTTTAAATTTGCTATCTAGATATCAATGAGTGTACTAAATCCCCTTGTAAGAACGGTGCAACTTGTCAAAATACTGCTGGAAGCTACCAATGCGCGTGTAAACCTGGTTATGCAGACAGGAACTGTGAGACAGGTAAGCTGCCTTGTAAAATTAAAAATCATCGTTCGTTGCCATAGATGGGGTTCATTTCTTTCACTGGATCATATTCTAAAAAAGCGCAATTGAGAGTTGTGTTTCTGTCATCTTGTATTGGTTGAACGGTTCTAAAATGGTAAATATAATATAATTAATAATATTTAATTGAGTACAATTCTTATTGTTCGTCAATTTTCATCCCATTGTAGATATCTTTGGGATTTCCCTTACTTAATTCTACCGCAAAAAAACACAAATAGTTATAACATATAAAAAGAGATACTTTAAACTTTAAGCAAGAAAAGTTAGATTACTTTATCCTTTTTTATTTAGATATAAACGAGTGTGCTGGATCTCCTTGTAAAAACGGTGCTACATGTCTTAATATTCCCGGGAGTTACCTGTGCAGATGTAAAGCAGGTTTTAAAGGAAGGACCTGCAACGCAGGTCAGTTAGCCTGCTCTCTTTTTAATTCCAATACCTTTCTACAATCTATCTATTCATTTAGAATTACAAACTTTTATCAGTATCTCTAATGGGAGTTAATTTCATTAATTTTGCATTTGGAAACTAAAGTTTTTCTCTGTTAAAAACCCTCTTGAAGATTAACTTGAATCAGATTACTACGCGGTTCTCCGTGCTCGCAACTTCCATTTCTTCTTTGCTACTTAAGTACGATGTATCACAACTCTCGGTAGAGCTTGCTCAAGGAAGGTACACATCGCTATCGGTCATAATTTCAAGAGTATTTCAACGCTGATTGATACAAAATTACATGAGATGTGAGAGATTTGTAAGTGTCAACTGAGAGTTTCCATAGTTTTCTACGTCATCACCCGCTAATTCGTTACCAGTCCATGTGATATTTTTAAGACAGAATAGGGGCACAAAAGGCCCAAAAAAACCGTGTTTTGGGCTTTTCTAAATTTTTCTTCTACCGGAATTGATTTGTACATGTGATAGGCTAAACATTAAGCAAAAAAAACCAATTCTGTGTCATCTGCAGTTTAATTCCAATACCTTTCTACAGTGTATCTATCCATTTATAATTATGATATTATGATATTAATATTATTATGATATTATATTATATTATTAATTTATATTGATACGATATTATCCATTTAGAATTATGATAATTTAGAATTATGAACTATTTGCAATATCACTGGAAGGATTTGGAAACTTAATTAATAAGTGTCCTGGATTGTTTTAAAAAACGACAAAAGGGATGATAAAGTCAATTTTTCGACGATACGTCTTTCTCGTCACAGTCAAATTAAGATCATGATATTTTATTGTTACATTAGTTTTTATTTCTGATAGTCTTATCCATCGGAGACTGCAAACGGAAGGAAATGGTACTTTTAAATATCATTGTAGTTTAAGTTATACTGATGCCTACTTTGTTATCTAGATATCAATGAGTGTGCTAAGTCCCCTTGTAAGAACGGTGCTACTTGTCAAAATATAGCTGGAAGCTACCAGTGCGCCTGTAAACCTGGCTACACAGACAGGAACTGTGAGACAGGTAGGCCGCCTTGGAAGATTAAATATCATCTTTTGGCAACATAAATGAGATTTACTTTTCTCACTGGACCATATTCTAAAGGAGCGCCATTAAAATTTTTCTTCCGTCATCTTGTATTGATTTCTACAATCTATCTGTGAACTTTCCGAAATATCTCTGAGGGGATTTTATTTCATTAATTTTGCATTTGGAAACGTATTTAATAAGCGAAAGGAAATGGTGGTTTTTAATATTGCCGCAGTTAAAGTTCTTTTGACTTTCAATTTGTTATTTAGACATCAATGAGTGTGCAAAATCCCCTTGTAAGAACGGTGC